TCCCTACACTCTACTCTACACATACGCTTGGGTGACCCTTCCAAAGTTTAAGTCAAATCATGTCATACCTAAAAGCCAAAGTTCTTTTAACAGCTCGTGTAGCTTCACATGCTTTGACCTGGTTACTGCTCTGACTTCATGCTCTATCACTCTTTCTCATTCACTCAGCTCCTGTCTTGCCATTGATTTTCATGTTTTTCCTGGAACAAACTAAGCAATCTCTTGCTCCAAGCCCTTTGCCTTGGCCCCTCTGCTTGGACTACTCTTCCCTAGACCCCTTCAGGTCCTGCTTCTTCACTCTATTCAGGTCTCTGTCCCCTTCCAGGTTAAACAACTGATATAGTTTGTTTTTTAATTTATTTTAAAAAATAATTATTTAATTTTATTTATTACTACTATTTTAAAGAATAATTCTACTTAACTTTATTTATTTATTTTAATTAGACCAGAGAAGGACAGAGAGAGAGGGAAAGCAAGAAAGCAAGCCATGAGGTCTGCAACTCTAACCACAGTTGACCATGTGGGAGTCCAGCACCCTTAAACACCACACCACCTGCCAGCCCTGTATTATTATTATTATTTAACTTTGCCAGAGAGAGAGAAAGAGAGAGAGAGAGAGAGAGGAAAAGTGAGAAAGCAAGCTGCCAGTTCTGGGACTGGGACCACGGTCAGCCATGTGGGAGTGCAACACCCCAACTACCATGCCACCTGCTGACCTCAGTTGATATAGTTTGAATGTGTCCCCAAAGATTCATGTGTTGAAATATGGCCAGTCATTTTAATGATGTTAAGAGGGTGGAAACTTAATACAAGACAGGGCCTTTGAGAGGATATTAGGATTAAATGTGGTTATCAGGTTGGGGCCCCATGATGGACTCTGAATAGCTTTTAAAATATATACATATTTATTTGGGTCCAGCAGTTGGCGTAATGGCTGTGTCACTGGACTCCCTTGTAGTCGACCACGGTTTGAGTCCTGGACCCAGTGGCTTTAAACTCACGCCAGGCGCCTGTACGTGCATGCCCAAGGTCCCGAGAGGAGAATGGAGGAGAAGGGATTGTGGTGTGGCCATCCCCCCGGGGGAAAAGTGAGAGTGCGTAAATTTTCAGTTTAAATTTTTTTTTTTTTTTTTTTTTTTAGAGAGAGATTTTTGCTATTGGGTGTGTGAGTTCACTGGAGAGACTGAAAGAGATGAGAGACAGAAAGTGAGAAGTCACCCCCCAGAGAGAATGGCCACTCAATCCCTTCTCCATTCTCCTCATGCACAAGAGCACGCCCAGCATGAGTTTATTTATTTTTTTTAAGAAATAATTAACAAATTAATTCCACTTATTATTACTTTTAAATTTAACTAGAGGGAGACGCAAAGAAAGGGAAAGTGAGAAAGCATGCTGCCAGGTCTGGGACTCAAACTGCAGTCAACCATGTGGGAATCCAGCGCCTTTAACCACTACACTACCTGCTAGCCCTACATGAAAAGAGCTCTTCAATAAACGTCAGCTGATCAAACAGGGTCCTCTCATAATGCGTCTGAAACCCACCATTCAGAACTGCTTCTCTTGCTTTGGATGTTCTTAAGAACATTTTGTTGGCCTCTTCAAGGGCCGCTGATACTCTGTAGCCTGCTCCACTCAGCGGCTCCTCTTCGGGATAGTCACAGTTGTCCTCCCAGCCATCAGATTCCCCGCCCTCGTCTTCGCTCTTGAAATCATAGCAAACTAGCCTGGCTGCTCCCCAGAGTTCGGCCGGTTGACAAGGCCCTGTTTCCCTCCTGGTGCCGCAGTTGGCTGGGCCTCCTCCTCTTCCGTTGGACCTTTCTTCTCCAGCTGTGGCCGCCTGTAGCAGGAGGGGCTCAAGGATGGCTCCCAGCCTCCGCTGCCTACCTCCATCTGGGGAAGGTCACCTTTGCCAGGAATCACATCCATCTGCAGATCACTGCTCCCTTCATAGCTCAGCTGGGCCATTTCCGACATGGTACAAACTGTTCAAAACCCTTTCAGCAAGATTCTCAGGTCCTGGGAACCAGCAGTTAGCGTAATGGCTATGTCGCTGGACTCCCACGTAGTCGACTAAGGTTCACGTCCCGGACCTAGTGGCTTAAAACTCACGCCGGGCGTGTGTGTGTGCATGCCCAAGATCCCAAGAGGAGAATGGAGGAGAATGGATTGCAGCGTGACCATCCCCCCTGGGGGGTGATTTCTCGCTTTCTGTCTCTCTGTCTCTCTCTGTCTGTCTGGCAAGCGCATGCACCCTATAGCGAAAACCTCTCAAAAAAAAAAAAAAAAGATTCTCAGGTTCTTTTTTTGAGGGTTGTGTTGTTTCTTCAACTTTCCTTCAAAAGGTTCTCTGGAGGCTGCTAAAAAGAGATTGATCGATTCCCCTTTAAGTCACCATAATCACTAGAAAACATCTAGTTCCAGACTAGGCTCTGCAGGGTCGCAACAAAGATCTCTGCTTACTTTCTGGGAGTTTACACTTTGGGTGTTGCTACAGACATACTAAATAAAAGTGTCAGACAAACTGCAGGGGCAGTAGGAGGGGTGGTGTATGCAATTAGGCGGGGCATTGGTGTGGATAGAGACTGGGTAGGGCTCTAGGAGGCTATAGTTGCCAGAAGTGAGTTTGAGATCAAAGATGATGGGAACCAGCAGTTAGTGTAATGGCTATGTCGCTGGACTCCCACATAGTCAGCCACGGTTTGCGTCCCAGACCCGGTGGCTTAAAACTCACGCTGGGCGTGTGTGCCCAAGATCCTGAGAGGAGAATGGAGAAGGGATTGCGGCATGACCATCCCCCCTGGGGGGTGATTTCTCGCTTTCTATCTCTCTGTCTCTTTCTGTCTGTTCAGCAAGCGCACGGTCCCTATAGTGAAAAAGCCTCTCCAAAAAAAAAAAAAGAGATTAAAGATGATGGAGGGTAGAGGAAGATTGGGAGGAGTAAGAAAATTCTAGGGCTGTTTCTAGTATTGTACCTAATACCAGTGTATGGAAGGAGGAACCACAGGACACTCACAACAAAGTTCCACCTCAAATAATTCATCCACTTACTGAAAAAATAGGCGCCAATGTGTCGACAGCATGTTGGTCACAGGGATAGTGATTGTCGACGGAAAAAAATAACCAACTGTAAAATTAATAATTAATAATTAATGCGGTTTATTTCCAAGCCAAATGTGAATGACCTAGGCCTGGAGAAGAGGCATACAAGCCTTTCTCGGCGTGATCACGTACAGGGGTTCCTTATTATTTGTTTTTGAGATTGACAGACAACATTTAGTGAAAAGATTTTCCATTGGTCTGGCCCAAAAAGGTGGGACATGTAAAAGCAAGGGGGGGGGCTTGTAGGTTATAGGTGGGTTCCACAATTCTTAGATTGGTGATTGGAAGGGAAGATCTGTGTCTTAGTTAAAGAAAGGCTTAATCTACACCTCAAGGAAAAGGGAAGTTCTGTGTCTGGGGAAGAGATAAGCACATGAATATACTGTAATCGGTTGAAATATACATCTCAAAGATACTATGCCAGGAACAGGAGGTACAAAGAACTCTGTTAATAGAAAATAAATGGTCTGTTAATGTTTGTGGCATGACTTCCCCAGTCCCTTTCGAAAAGATTTTGGAAAAATAGGAAAAGTAGTCAGACTTCTGTCCACATGATGAACAAGACACCAGAGGGAACCAGATCCCTTAAGTGAGAACAAGGCATGTGAAAAGACAGGAGGGCCAGTGTGGCTAACACACGGGACCCAGACTTAGAAATGTAGAGGCTAGGGCCGACTTGCAAGTACTGAGCACTGAGTCTGGGTTTTATTCTGATGGCAATAACATGCCATTTACACTCATTTATAAGTTTTTTCTTTTTTTAGCTTTTATCATAGGGCATTATTCAAATGTCGCCAACAGCCATGTGGGCTACAATTGCCACAAACTACCACGCTACCTGGCTGATCCCATGAGTGAATTCTTAAGTCTTTTTTAAAATGACTTTTTAGGGAACCAGCAGTTAGCGTAATGGCTATGTCGCTGGACTCCCACGTAGTCGACCGCGGTTCGCATCCCGGACCCGGTGGCTTAAAACTCACGCTGGGCGTGTGTGCCCAAGATCCTGAGAGGAGAATGGAGAAGGGATTGCGGCATGACCATCCCCCCTGGGGGGTGATTTCTCGCTTTCTGTCTCTATGTCTCTCTCTGCCTGTCTGGCGAGCGCACGCGCCCTATAGCAAAAATCTCTCCAAAAAAAAAAAAAAAAGTAAAAAAAAAAAAAAAGACTTTTTAAAGAACTACTTTATTTACATACACTTACGTATGTATGTATGTATGTATGACCAGCAAGCCACCAGTTCCAAGAGTCGAACAGCGGTCAGCCATGTGTGAGTCCAATAGCCTCAACCACCAAGCCACCTGCTGGCCTCAGTTTTTAAGTTTTTTTTTTTTTTTTTTTTTAGTTTTAAAGTCTTTTAAGAACTCTACAAACTTAAGCCAATTTTACTGACGGCGATTAAGCTTAGTCTGTCCAAGGCCTGAGAAAACCCAACAGGCTTTGGAGCCCGGATGCACTCACTGCTCGCGGAATTCCCTCCCGCCACGCCTGACGTGCGGCCCGGAAGCACTGAGCATGCGCCGCTCGCCATACGGAAGCCGGGAAGGAAGGGGGCGGGGCTGAGGCTG